AAAGGTGAATTTTAGGCTGAAGGAACATCTGTTGTTGTTTTTTGACCTAATCGAAGACGATCATTCAGGTTTAAACATTCAATAATGTCTCATTAAACAGCAGAAACATTTTTCCTCTCTTTTAAACATTTTTTGTGCAAAGGTGATGGAGTCTTTTGCACCTTTGAACTCAACATCCTGGCTGTGCTGTAGGTGGTGGAGGTTGGATGCGTTACTTTAGGTAATCCCAACAGTTTTCAGACAAACTTTGCATTTCGTGTTATTTTGCTCGACATCTATGGCGTAATTTTGGTGCAACGGAACTGAATATGCAGTAACAACAACGTGCATCGTTTCAACTTGCACAGCCTCGCTCAAAACCGGTCTGCTGCACGCTCAACTTTGACAACGCACTCTCAACTTCTTCTCTGCACGCTCAGGTTCAGCTCTGGTCTCACTCGGTTCCACAGGATTAACTGATGTAATTTTGTTTACAGATGTGTTAGAAGCTTCTTTAATGGGTTCATCTGCCTTTCTATTTATGCTCCTGACTGGATCGGTGGAGTCATGTGACTATACACATAATGCAGTGTCTGAAATACAAGCAACCCTCGCTCATATGCAAAACAGCTAAATTAAGTTTATTGCTTTTACTGACACTACGCCGGTTGTCGTAGTGAATGACGATAACGGTAAAAATACAGTTTATCGCTCAGCCCTACAAGGAGGACATCATTGTTGAATACAATTTATAAAAAAAGCCAGACTGGAATTTGACAGACTACATGTTGACAAGCGACCAAAAAGAAGCCTATCAGAAAAAGAACACTGTGAAACATGGAGGAGGCTCTGTTATGCTGTGGGGCTGCTTTGCTTCATCCGGCACAGGGTTTCTTGATGCTTTGCTGGGTTCAATGAAATCTCAAGACTATAAAGGGATCTAGAGATAAATAATAATGATTAGAATAATACATTTTATTTAAAAGGCGCCTTTCTGGATACTCAAGGTCACTGTACAAAAAGCATAAAAAACACAGTGTCCGAAACAAAATAAAAACATTTAAAAAATACAGAGGCTGTGACACAGGCTTCCCGCGGGTCCTAAAAAAGTCTTAATAAGCATTGAATTCTTCAAAATAAAACTAAGGCCTTAATTGGTATTAAAATGTCTTAAATCAGTCTTTCGTAGGTCTTAATTTTTAAAACATCATAAATAGGATTATTTTTATTATGATTTATTTTTGTAATCTAAAAAAAACGTTAAAACTGACAAAAATTTTTTTTATTTTTTTTTTTTATTAAAAAAAAAATTAGGGCTCGCCATTATTGGTTCCGTCCCGATAGCGGAAC